ATTTGATTGCAGTAAAATTAGCAAAACATTTTTTTGTATGGTAAGTTTAAATATGCAAATGATGCATTATCTAATTAAATATGCACACATTTGCATACATTTCCAGAACAGAAATCTGAACATTGGTTCAAAATTCTTGTTTGATTTTGTTGACATATTAGAGTTTTTACTGAGGGGATTTTGGATTTCTCGTTTTATCTCTCCATAGATCAGAAAATACTCAAAAAATATTTTCACCATTTGTCTATGAATAAACCCCTCATTAAAACCCTTCAGAATATAGATTGGAATTAAATTGTAAGTTTTGGTGTATGTAAGTGCTGCTGAAGAGGAGAAAAAACTCAAAGCCTTTAAAAATGTGCATTTTGACCACGTTTTTTAGGAGTAAAATGTTGTATAAATAAATGTGAATGATATAAAAACAAATCCCTCTGCAAAACCCTTCAGAATATATAGAGGAATTAAACTCTAAGTTTTGGTGTATGTAAGTGCTGCTGAAGTGGAGAAAAAACTCAAAGCCTTTAAAAATGTGCATTTTCACCACGTTTTTAGGAGTAAAATGTTATATAAATAAATGTGAATGATATAAAAACAAATCCCTCTGCAAAACCCTTCAGAATATATAGAGGAATTAAACTCTAAGTTTTGGTGTATGTAAGTGCTGCTGAAGTGGAGAAAAAACTCAAAGCCTTTAAAAATGTGCATTTTCACCACGTTTTTAGGAGTAAAATGTTATATAAATAAATGTGAATGATATAAAAACAAATCCCTCAGCAAAAACCTTCAGAATATAGAGAGGAATAAAACTGCTAAGTCTGGTGTATGCAAGTGTTACTGAAATTGAGAAACAAACTCATTTTTAGAAAACAGCCTGAAATCTACAGGCACAAATAGATAAAGTGCAATAAAATAAATTATATTTTGGATGCTTTCTGTGCCAAAATTGACCAGTGCATGAAATAACAATGTTTTTGCCTGTTGTGTCTTGCCTTAAATAAAAAAGAGACAGTAAACAATAATGGAAAAGAATGAGAAAAGTGATGAAATTGTAGGGAATTGAGCCTTTACTTTACTTTACTTTTAGTCATTTAGCAGATGCTTTTATCCAAAGCGACTTACAAATAAGAAAAAGTAATTAAAACTAAAAGCTAAAACTCTATAAATACTATATACATACACACATTTAAGAAAATAAAATAAATTAAATAAAAATGACAAATGCATACAACAACATTTCAAAACTAAAACATTTAAATGAAAACAAAAAAATAAAAAATAAAAACAATTCAAACATACACAAATAATAAAAATTTATTGAAGCTAAAAGCTTTTAAGAAAATAAAATAAATTAAATTAAAATGACAAATGCATACAACAACATTTCAAAACTAAAACATTTAAATGAAAACAAAAAAATAAAGCTAAAAACAATTCAAAAATATTAAAAGAACAAAAGGTATGAGTATAATAATGATTCTAACATAATACTAAGCCAAACACCAAAAAACAACTACATATGTGTATGTACAGCCACACACATATACATATACATGTACATATATATATAAATACATTAAATATATATATATTATTTCATTTCCATTTTGTATGTTGAAGTACTGAAATAACTCAAAATAAATAAAAGTAAAACTTAATAAAAAGCCGATATAGACATAATGAAAAACTAATAAAATGACAACATTACTACAACTGTAACTAAAACTAAAATAGATAACTAATACAAATCAAAGTACATTAGTTCATCAGTAATCCTAAAAAAATAATACTGAGGCAAACACACATGCTAAAATAACAACAACTTACTGACACATAGTAAGAAATAGATTGAAATATATATTGAGCCATATATAAGGTTGCAGTACATGCATCATTGTGCATTATATCAGAGTGTTTGCATTGACTGATAGGCCACGGCTCAAACACAATGTCTTTTAATGCTTGAAATACAAATATGCTCAGTCAGATGCCATGATATTCAGCTCATTCAGTGGCCTTCAGCGGTTTTCTTTTGTATTGTACTTTTGTATTGTGTACAATAATACACAATACAAAAGTTATTTTGTACTTTTGTATTGTGGTGTAGATTTCAGTCCATAGGGAGAAGTGCAGTTTATCTGGTTAATCAGGTGAACAGAACAGATTATTTTACACGAGAGAGATTTTAACCAACAATGAGCCGAAAGAGACGCACTAAATGAGGTCATGTGAAAAAAATCCATACTGTATCTCCTCATCTGCCTGTCTTCCTCAGTATTTTGCCTTGTTTTCCAGTACAAATATCTAAACATTTTCCTAAATCAAGCTACATTTTCTGGAGATGCAAAATGAGTTAAGATAGTAAGTCTCTTTTTTTAAAGTTAAATTAAGTGAGTTTATGCTTATATCAAGATATCTGTAAATATCTGTTAATAGGGTCAGAAAAATAATACAGTTTCCCCTTTGAGTTAAGTTTATTTTTCTGATCATTGACAGATATTTGTTTTCAACTTAAACATAAACATTTATTCAGTAAACAAGAGAAACAAGTCCAAACACATTTAGATGCATTAATGTGCAATAAAACAAAGTCTCTCTTCTCTTTATCAGCAGAACACTTATATAACAGCATTAATTATATTCAGTGTTATGTAATTTGATGGATCACCATCCTTTCATATACATTATCCTCATTTATTTATATTTGTCCTCATTTGTAAGTCACTTTGGATACAAGCGTCTGCTAAATGACTAAATAAATAAACAAAATAAAAATTATCCGATCTGAAGCTGTATCAAATGTACCATGATAACCATAGTTTCTGCCAAAATACCATAATGTAAAATGATTTGTTGATGTAGTGAATATAAAACAAAGACTATTGAAGTACATTTTGCAAGAAAATGCTATTTCAGTTTTTTATACTTAAATAAATTCACATTTAGTTCAATGTGTTACTTGCCTTTTCTGTGTAGTTGTGAAATTTACTAGCAATTTCTGATCGAAAACTGTTTCTATATCAATAAAACTGAGAAAACGAACAAAAATGTTCTGAAAGCTTCTTGCATGATATGATCACATATTCATTTATTATGCTTGTACACTGGTAACTATGTGGCATTTGGTCTATAATGATGGTTATCATGGTAAAGACTGAAGGTGTTTAATACTTGTGATGTGTCCAGGTTCCAGGTTCTGTCTCTGTCTCTCTCTCAACCATCTCTCTCTCTCAAGTACAAAGGAATGTATTGTTTGAAACACTCACCAAAGGGACAAAACCGACCACTGACAAACACATCTTTGTGTGTGTGTGTGTGTGTGTGAGACACAATGGCTGCTCATTAGTATTCCAAAATCGATAATGATCCCCCCTCCACAAAAAATTCAACCTGGAGTTGCACTTTCCAAACTCTCACTTTTCTTTCTTTCTTTCTTTCTTTCTTTCTTTCTTTCTTTCTTTCTTTCTTTCTTTCTTTCTTTCTTTCTTTCACAGTTTTAGATGCACGCAAAAACACACACAGGGTCAAACTCAGGATAGTTTTGGTAAGTTTTCACATAGATTTGACCATTTTCCTAACCCTAACCTCAGCTCATCTGATAGACCATTGCACTGCAATACTTTGGTGTAATGCATATGTAATGCATTACACACTGTATGCATGGTGTTATGCATACAGTAATGCATTTGTTTCCCAGAACATGATTTAGAAAAGTATTTAGAAAATGATCAAACAACGTCTAAAAGGCAACTTCTGACTTAGAAATACTTGATAAACACAAATGTTGCAACTGTTACAAAGATGTAACAACTTGAATGAGAACTCCAGAGTGATGAGGCGTTTCATTAATGAGAGAGATGCAGAATGAGTGAGTGATGCTGCTGCTGCTGCTGAATACTGTGACCTGCAGGAGGCGCTGAGTGACACATCCATCACCGAAACCTGCCACTGCATGCACTGCTGCATGGCAAGCATGCTTCACACTTTATAGAACATTTCAAATTAAAATTTCAAATGCTAATTTATTGCATTTCCTAAACAACAATTATATTTTGTCATTATATATATATATATATACACACACACACACACACGCACAACATTTTATATTAAAAACTGAAATGCTTATTAATAGTTTTTAATGTTTAGATATAATGTTTATAATATATCTTCATTTTTGCCTGTTTTAAATATATTAGATGCTCAGTATCAGTCCATTAGAAAATATTCATAAAATACCTTATTTACATTCTTTCATATATTACAGAACACATTTGTAATAATATCAAAGTCTATGAACTTAGAACATTTGATATTAACAATTAAAATGCTCATTTTTGGTATTTTCCATGAATATTAATAAAAAATAATAATTTTATTTTGTGCTGTTATGTTCATATCTTTATTTTGCCTGTTCTAAATATATTAAATGCTCAGTGTCACTCCATTAAAATACTTATTGTTTTGTATATATTAAATGTTCATTTTGTATACATTGTAAAGTATCTTTCCTCTGCATCTGTTCCTCCACATAATATCCAAGTCTCTGATGAATAAATAAAGTAATTAATTTAAATTATTTGTGTTGCAAAACTTCTTAAACATGTTTCTGGACAATGCTATTATTATTTTTACTGAACATTAACATAAAAATGCACATTTCTTCAAATGCAAACATTGAACATTATACAATGAAACAGAACAAAAAGAGAAAAGCAACTACAAAAATAAATACTGAGATAAATACTTTTTATCAATAATGAGTCTTATCATTTATAATTTTGTATAATTATATAAAAATAAGAATAAGGGTAAATAAACAAATAGCTCAAGCTTTCAAAGTATTTGTAGTTTCTCTACTACAGTCAACAAAATCATGAAGTTGGGTTTTTTATTAGTAAACTTGCATTCATGAATGTGAAGCTTGTTTGTTTCTTTGTTTACATTTGTGGCGGCTGACGTCACATGCGAATGATGTCACAAAGCACCGCGCTCCAGGAAATGCGCACGCCCTGCGCGTCACGACTGAGCGTCTCGGGTGGAGGAGGAAACGCGTTTTATAAGCGCATTCTTCTCTCATTCACATGCATGCACCGCCGGAGGAACGCGTTCAGCGGAACACTAGAGACAGACAGAGGCACGGAGACCGGAGACCGGAGACGCGCGACTTTCATTTCATTCTTCACTCACCGAAACTCAGAAACGCGTCGCGATGTTTGCTGATTCAACGACAGGGTGAGTTTAAAACGCTTCATTAAAGATGCTTTATACTGATGATGTGGATGATTTTAGCTCCGTATTTCAAATGGCATTTTATGTCTAGCGCGCGCGCATGTGGTTTATTGCGTCTTCAATATAATAGTTACATCAGAAATCATATAATAAGCGCAGCATCATCTTTAACATATCATCTATCTGCACAGTCATTTCTGCGAGTTTTACAGTTAAACTTAAACAAATAGATAAACCTGTTAAACTGGTTTGACACACTTATATTTCATATCTGACATGCATGATGTTTTACATGAATAAAGCTCTTTTAAGCACCTTAACAGTTGAGATCGTTAGATATAATGCATAACAGCTGAAACGATGAGAAGTCAAGTAATAAGATGTAATCGCGCGTGTTGGGATGCACGTGTCTTGTGTGATGCTGGGAAACCCGGTGCTTGTCGCGTGGCCTTCAGCACGTATCACTGCGATCAGATGATGAAGATGATGATGATGATGAGAGGAGAGCATCTGTGCGTTCTGAATATCTTATTCATTTCTGTTTGCTAATATGTAACTGTTTTGCAACTATACTACATATTTATTATTAGGTATGGTATGCAAGGCTGGCCCGAGCCTTTATGAGGCCCTAAGCAGAATTTTACATGGGGGGCCCTCGGTGCCACCAATACGACTGATTATTGTCAATGCGCACACTAAATCTAACACACCTAATATGTAACTGTTTTGCAACTATACTACATATTTATTATTAGGTATGGTATGCAAGGCTGGCCCGAGCCTTTATGAGGCCCTAAGCAGAATTTTACATGGGGGGCCCTCGGTGCCACCAATACGACTGATTATTGTCAATGCACACTATTCGCACACTATAAATCTAACACACACATTATCAATTTTATCTGTCGTAGCTGTGTTGCTTATATCTGCCTGGCGTGTTGTAACCCTTCTATGGTTTTTAGTTGTTACAGTAGCAAACCCGCAAGAGTGGTCATGTGTTAATTTAAACTTTAACATCCAAAGTCTTAGTGGCATACTTTATGTGGTGCTTAACTTAAAAGTAGTTAAATAAACCAGCGGACAATGCATTTACTGAAAAGAATGTTATTTTAACAACATAAGTTATTAAACACCGCAGCAAGTCATCCGTACACCTAAAACAACAACTCTTAATCTAGCTAACTGAGGCATAATGATACTGGAACATAAAAGCAAAGACAGGGTAAGGTAAAAAATGTTAAGTTGTTATCAGTACCGAGTTTATGAAACAGAAGCTTATTTTTATTACAAAAATGTATACCCCGGAAAATTTTACACAGACAAAAATGTTTTTTTTAATGTTTTTCTAAAACTAGCTAAATTAAATGTTATATTATAATCGAGAGAAAGACATGCTCAGTGCTTTATATCACAACTGTTCAGTGTTTCAGACATTTCAATACAGATTTCAATTAAGTACTATTGTTACGGGGCTGACGAGACGTGAGACGTGCGGATCCACTTGCAAGCTATTTATTAGGAGAAGACAGAGACGTGGTCATAAAACAGGCTTGGGTCAGATAATGGCAGACAGGTATATGGTGGGCAAGACACAAGAAGAAACCTAATGCTAGCAGAGGTGAACTATCGGCAAACAGAATCAAAGGGGCGAGACTAGAGGGAACGAGAACACAGACAAGGCAAGACTAAGGTAAGGATAAGACAAACTAAACAGGCTCTGTAAAGTAGCTATCGCTAGGGGAGTGATAATCGCTAAACAATACTCGGCAGTGGAATGGGATCAGAGTGAGAGTTAAATAGGGGATGTGTGAGTGATAACAGCTGTGTGCAATCAGTGCTGTGCAATCAACTGTGTGTGTGTCATCAGTGCAGTGGATGATGGGATATGTAGTCCGGGGTGATATGCAACAGTGTGTAGTGCGAGAGTCCCTGAAATGGGAAGGGTGACCTCTGATGGCTAGCCGACGGAAGTTCATGGACCGGACACGTGACAACTATCAACAAAATTTAGTTTGTTAAATACACTGATTTCTATGGAAAGCGGTAATAATACTCCTTTCAATTAAAATGTGACGCGTTTTATTCCTATCAAATACACATTGTGTAGGTAGCTATAACGTTTACGCTGTTTTTCTCCCAGTTCGCTGGCCACTTACTTTCATGCATTTCGGGAGAAATGGGTGAATTTCCGTGATGTTAATCCGACAGATCCACACGACAGCGTCCAGCGCACATTATAGATCAACTAACATGGTCATTAAGGTTGTTTAAACGACAAAACTAATTAATTTACACGTATTTGATAATCACAATATGCTGTATCATATAGCTTATGATATATTTATGAAGTATTTAACAAAAAAAGGAAAAAACTATATAAAAGTCATACATCTGTCAAATTTTGGATGCATGATGCCTTGCTATGGAAATAAAACGATACGTATAGATTATTTAATTGTTTAATATTGCGTTTTTGTATTATTACCTTTGTCCATTGACATAATATATCACCAAAAAAAATTATGAAATAAAATAATAATCAAGCTGTCATTTCATGTATTCTTGGGGGCCCCCTGGTGGCCACGGGGACCCTAAGCAGCCGCTTAGTTCGCTTATGCCTCGGGCCGGCTCTGTGGTATGGAAGGCCGTTTCCGCCACTGAATTAAAAATAAAAAAGGTTATCGCGACTTTTATAACTCGCTATTTTATATCTCACAACTCTGAGAAAAAAAGTCAGAATTGTGAGACATAAAATAGCGAGTTATAAAATCAGAATTGCAAGATAAAAATGTGCAATTCTTCTGAACATTCATTAATCTTAGGTATGCCAATATTTAATAACAGGTTGTTAAAATCGAAAGTTGCACCTGTGTTATTTAATGAGCTAAACCAGTGATATCATGATTAGTTGTCATGGTGACCATAGCGCCTGGTGTTCAGCAGACATCCTGGCATCCAGTATATTGAGTGAGGGGACTGTGACGATTTGTTAACCTAATGAATAATTGATTTGTTAAATCAAATTAAAATTAGTGTGTCAGATTGGTCGAGACGCTACACGACTTTTTATAACTCGCTATTTTATATCTCACAACTCTGAGAAAAAAAGTCAGAATTGTGAGATATAAAATAGCGAGTTATAAAATCAGAATTGCAAGATAAAAATGTGCAATTCTTCTGAACATTCATTAATCTTAGGTATGCCAATATTTAATAACAGGTTGTTAAAATCGAAAGTTGCACCTGTGTTATTTAATGAGCTAACACGAACAAAGACTTGTATTTTTTTAAACAAAGATTAATAACTTCTGTAGCAAATGTAGCTATTGTGAATGTTAATGCATTAACTAAACTTAACTAACGAGGTCTTATTGTAAAGTGATACCTATTGGTCTTTATAGTTCTTTTGCACTTTAATCTGTAAAACTTTTAGCTTTATAAATGTTTCTGTATTGCTTTATTGCATTTAAATGTTCAGTTGTTTTTGTTATAAGAAAAAAGTTATTAAACCTGTTATACTGTATTATGACCACTTTTTTTTTAAACTAAATTTCAATATCGTGATAATACCGTATACCGTGATAAAAGCATTAGCAATTAATCCCAACATGAAAATCTGATACCGGCATATCCCTAAATGGAATGTTCCTGCACATTGTGAACTTTCAGAGAACATTCGGAAATAATGATTTGTAACTTAATGTGAACGTAAGTAAATGTTCCTGGAAGTGAGTCATATCAGAGATTGATTCAGTAACAGCTCTGAGTGATTCGGGGAGTCTCCCGTGTGAGTCATTAGCAGAACTGCTCATCTGCACATTAATCGGACTAATCCAGCCATTATTTTCCAGTCCCCGGTGTTTTTATTTCATTACATTGAGCTCAGATAAAACACATGATTTGTTGTAATGAAAACATTAAATAGATAAGAAGGCAGGCAGAACGACTCGACCGCAGACTCTCATGCTTCATTCAGTCATACATACTTTTCTCTTTCAAACATTGAGTCCTAATAAGACATTCATAGGTTGCTTTGAAAACGCTGCTTTTTATGTTTGAGAGTAAAACGCTATTTAGTGAAGCTTAAGCTAAAAGAACATTTGTCAGAGACTTAATCCGGAACAGTGTTGATTCCATTTTAGTTTTTCTTAATATTTTGAGTTTGAGTTCTATACATTGTTTTTGTTTATGATATTTATTAATTTTTTTAGATGTCTAAATAGTCATTTCTATTTCAGTTTTATTGTTATTTTAGTTCAACTAAATGAAAATTAGAAATGTTGCTTTGGTTTGAAATAAAAGAAGTTTAGTTTTTTTATATTTTATTTTATTTCAGTTCATGTTTATTTTATTTGAAGTATTTTTCTAATGTTTTTAGTTTTAGTCAACTATATTAACTCTGATCCAGAAGCCGTATTATCTTACACATTTAGTTTTTAAGTAAATCTAATGATAGAAATTGAGATCATTAATTACATTCATTTTAGTAAAAATTTTTAGTTATTTTTGTGTGTTTCTGTAATTTTTTGTGTTTTAGTGTTTATATATATATATGTGTGTGTGTGTTTGTCTATATAGTAATTTTTATTTCAGATTTCTAGCTAGTTAAACTAAATGAAAATGAAAATGTTGTTCTGGAAGCTAGTTGAAATAAAAACGTTAATTTAAAAAATATTTTATTTAAGTCATGTTTATTTTATTTCAAGTAATGGAAATGTTTTTTTTAATGTTTTTAGTTTTGGTTAACTATAATAACCCTCATTATCGTACACATTTTGCTTTTCAAGTAAATCTAATTATAGCAAATGAGAATTTTTTAGAATAAAGTTTTAGCAATTTTTGTGTTTTTGTTATTTTTATTAGTTCTTTTAAAATGTCTACATAATTTTTATTTCTACATTTTTTATTTGATCATAATTATATATATATATATATAGCTTTTTTTAGTTAAACTAAATGAAAATGAGAACTGCTGCCTTGGCAAGTAGTTGAAATAAATTAAGTTTAAGGTTTTTTAGATTTTATTTCAGTTAATGTTTATTTTATCCATTTAGTGTTTATTTTATCCAGAAGAATTAACTTTTATTTTAAAACACATTTTGCTTCTAATGATAGCAAATTAGATTAAATGAGCACTTATTTCACTAAAAATCACATGACCCTCTCTGCTCTCCCTCAGGTACAGTTATGAGGAGTGTAAGGCCACAGCTGATTGGCTGCTGGCTCAGGCTCCAGTGCGCCCCCTGCTGGGGATCGTGTGCGGCTCCGGTCTCGGAGGACTGGCAGAAATGCTGAAAGATCCGCTGGTCATCGACTACAGTGACATCCCCAGCTTCCCTCGGAGCACCGGTGAGTTCAGACCATGTGCTGCGACGGCTGATTGTGCTGTACTCATCTCCAGACTGACTCCTAACCCTGCTGCCTTGGCAAGTAGTTGAAATAAATTAAGTTTAAGGTTTTTTAGATTTTATTTCAGTTAATGTTTATTTTATCCATTTAGTGTTTATTTTATCCAGAAGAATTAACTTTTATTTTAAAACACATTTTGCTTCTAATGATAGCAAATTAGATTAAATGAGCACTTATTTCACTAAAAATCACATGACCCTCTCTGCTCTCCCTCAGGTACAGTTATGAGGAGTGTAAGGCCACAGCTGATTGGCTGCTGGCTCAGGCTCCAGTGCGCCCCCTGCTGGGGATCGTGTGCGGCTCCGGTCTCGGAGGACTGGCAGAAATGCTGAAAGATCCGCTGGTCATCGACTACAGTGACATCCCCAGCTTCCCTCGGAGCACCAGTGAGTTCAGACCATGTGCTGCGACGGCTGATTGTGCTGTACTCATCTCCAGACTGACTCCTAACTGTGTTTTCTGTAGTTCACGGTCACGCTGGAAGGCTGGTGTTCGGCAAGCTTAAAGGAAAGCCGTGTGTTTGCATGCAGGGCAGGTTTCATCTGTATGAAGGATACACCATTCAGAAGGTGATTAACACACTAACTGTTCATCTGAAATCTGTTCGAACGTTCTGCTAACATTCCCATTAAGTTATGAAAACATTAAATCTGATTGTTCTCTGAACATTAAAAAATTCAGTTTTTTAAAATGTTTTTTCTTGGTTATGCAAACCAGTATCATTGAGATACTATTATAGTTTTTATTAATATTTAGAATTAGTTTCCATTTGAATTTTAGTTTGTTTTAGTAATTTTGTTGTGATTTTATTAGTTGTTATTATTTGTATTATATTATTTTTGTTTTATTATTATTTTTTAAATATGTCTATATAGTATTCATGTAATTTTTATTTTAATTGTTGTTGTTTTTTTGAATATCAAGTTAAACTAAATGAAAATGAGAAATGTTGCCTTGGCAACTAGTTGAAATTAAGTTTAGGGTTTTATATTTTATTTAATTTTTTCGTTTTTGTTTTATTAGTTTTTTTATTTTAATTTTAAATATGTCTATATATTAATTAAATTTTTATTTTGGTTTTAGTAATTTTAGAACATGAAGCTAAACTAAATGAAATATTTAAAAAAAACGTTTATTTTATTTTAGTTTCTTTTTCTTTTAATATATATATATAGTTGTCGTTCATTTTAATTTCAGTTTTAGTTATTTTAGAACATCCAGTTAAATTAAATTAAAATGATAAATGTTTTCTTGGCAACTAGATGAAATGAAAAAGTTTATGATTTTTATATTTTAATTTTTTATTGTTTGATTTATTTCTTTTTAAATGTCTATGTAGTTTTGTTGATTGTTATTTAAATTTTAGTTTTAGTTATTTTATAACATCAAGTTAAACTTAAATGAAAATAAGAAATGTTTTCTTGGCGACTAGCTGAAATTAATTAAGTTTGTTTTTTTGTTTTTATTTGAAGTTACAAAAAATGCTTTATTGTTTTAGATTTAGCTTCAGTTCATTATAATAACCCTGTTTGGAATGTTATGGAAAACATAAATGGAACGTTACATTGTATCATTTAGCAAACTTTTAAATGTTCTCGAAATGTTCTGGAACAAGCAGTAAACGTTTAAAAAACCTTAGAAACATTTCAGAAAAACCTTCCATGACTGATGCATAAATTAGGGCTGCACGATTATGACAAAAATCATAATTGTTGATTATTCCCTTGAAATTGTAATTGCGATTATTAATTACAATTATCACAATTTACATTGATGTTTATACCATTGTTTGATGCAACTGCATGCCGTAATTTTTATATGAAAATAAACAAGCTGAAAACATTCTAACTGAAAAACCTTTAGTGCTTTTCTATAGTATTAAGCCTCAAATGTCAAATATACATCGGATTGGTTTCTTCTTTAAATGATATAAAAAGTTAAAATATGAATGGTATTATAATGTTATACTAAAATTAAAACCCTTAAGATAACATGTAGAAAAAAAACACATCTTAAGCGCGCAGAATAACATAAGTGGATGATTAATTACCGCTTTGAGCGATTACGTAATTGTGGCATCCATAATTGTAATCGCGATTAGAAATTCGATTAATTGTGCAGCCCTAGTATAAATGCTAATGTTTGAGAATGCTATTAAAGAGCAGTTTTAGTGTTTAGGAACTGTGGTGTCATTATGAACTCATGTATGATCAGTATTTGCTGAATGTAAACATCAGTGGCACTTTTACGATGTCTTTATTAATACAACACAAACGTTGCACGTGTTACACAATCATCTCTAGTTCAGCTCCTCTGAGAATAATGTCAGTGTTGTGGTAAAAACAAGCTTCAACTTTCCAATTTTGTCCCTTGTTTCTTGGCCACTGTGGGAGGTGTTGATGCAATATTCCTACGTGTACAAAGCACCATGAATAGATCCAGAAAGGCTTGTTGAAGTTCCAAACAATAACTGAAGTTTATTAAACCAAATATATAATATATAAGTGAACATATAGAAAAATTAAATAAGATAGTAAGTATGGCTCCTACACCCGGCCCCTAATTGAGGGTTTAAGCATCAATTACAATCAAATTAAATATAAATGGAGCCAAATACGCATATACAAGGAGAAATAATACTCATCTTTTAATCTTCATCCAGTCGTTCTAAGATTCAGTTCTAGTTTTCTGCATCTTCTAACAGCAGGCAAAGTTTGGTAATATGTCTTTCCAAGAAACCAGTCTTTGTCTTAAGTTTAACATTTCTTATGAGTCCTTTGGAATCAGGTAAAACTTCTGTTACTCTTCCAATAGGCCACGATCCACGAGGTGCTGAACTGTCCACAACTAGGACAATATCTCCCCTCTGCAGTCCTCTTTTAGCAGTAAACCATTTTTGTCGTTCCTGTAATAATGGTAAGTACTCTTGGGACCACCTCTTCTAAAACAGGTCAGATAAAAATTGTACTTGCCTCCATCGACGTCTGATGTATACATCTGACTTCTGAAACAGTCCAGGGGGTAAAGCAGGGCTAGACTTTAGCAGGAGAATGTGATTTGGTGTCAAAGGTTCAAGATCATGATGGTCATCAGACAATGTGGTAATGGGACGACTATTCAAGATTGATTCTACCTCACAAAAGAATGTTTGTAATTCTTCATCATCAAGGGTGTGGTGTTGCAAAATAGAGCATAAGATCTGCCTCACCATACGAATGAGTCTCTCCCATACTCCCCCATGATGTGAGGCTCCTGGAGGATTAAACGTCCACTGAATTCCTTTCGAGATCCAACTCCTTTACATTCTGAGCTCTGTCTTCCTTTGGAATATGTGCAAGCACAGTGCGACTGTTACTCACCCATTTTGTGAGATGGAATCCTCCTGTTTGACAGAGAGATGTAAGGTCTTTCACCATCTCTACTGCGTCAAGCTCTGTTGGAAGTGACTTTAAACAATCATCCACATAGAAGTTGTTTTCAACAGTGCTTATTACCTCAGATCTAAAACAGTCATTGTTATCTTTGGCTGTTTGTCTTAGAGCAAAGTTAGCACAACTGGGGGATGACACTGCCCCAAAAAGATGTTCTAGCATTCTGTGTTCTACAGCAGGCATACTGGCATCTGGCCACCAGAGGAATCGCAAAAAGTCAACATCTGCCTTTGACACTCTGACCTGATGGAACATTGCTTTGATGTCGGTCATAACTGCTACAGGTTCTTGGCGAAATCTGGTGAGGACATCGAAAAGTGTGCTGGTTAAATCAGGACCCTGAAGAAGTTCTGAGTTGAGGGATTTACCTTGAAAGGTAGCACCACAGTCAAAGACAACTCTTATGGTCCGTTTTTGTGGATGATATACACAGTGATGTGGGATGTACCATAATTTACCGTCTGTTCTTTTCAACTCTTGTTGCGGTACTACTTCAGCATAGCCCTTATTTATGACTTCAGTTAGAAATTCAGTATAGTCGGTTTTGAATTGTTCATTCCTTTTGAACTTTCTTTTTAGACTTTGAAGTCGCTGTTCTGCCACTTGGTAATTTTTGGGCAATATTGTGTCCTCCTTCCTAAAGGGTAAATCAAGAGTGTAATGTCCATCTTTCAACTTGATTGATTTATGTCTTTCGACATAGTGTAGTGGTAAAAGCAAGCTTCAACTTTCCAATTTTGTCCCTTGTTTCTTGGCCACTGTGGGAGGTGTTGATGCAATATTCCTACGCGTGCAAAGCGCCATGAATCGATCCAGAAAGGCTTGTTGAAGTTTCAAAAAATAACTGAAGTTTATTAAACCAAAATTAACTTGAATTGCAACATAAAACAAACAAACAACTTAAAGGCTAATTGCAGGCTTGTTGCACCATGCCATCTTAGCTCCATGCGTACGGTCTAAAGACTGTATGCTCTCGCACCAGCGCCCCCCTCCTGTCAGGGGTGGCATATCCTTTTAAACATTTTTCCCTTCACACCTATAGAGGGCACACACTCAGAGAAATAAACAACATTAACAATATAGCAGCAAACTAATATATAAGTGAACATATAGAAACATTAAAAAAGATAGTAAATATGGCTCCCACAGTCAGAGTGCAAAAAGTGCTTAATATGTTACAGATGCATTGTATTTTTCTGTTGATTTTGAGCTGGAATGTGACTCCGGCTTGATCCTGATGATCTGGTTTTGTAGACCACTATGCCGATGCGTGTGTTTAAGCTGATGGGCGTGGAGACGGTCATCCTGACCAATGCCGCTGGCGGACTCAACCAGGACTTTAAAGTGGGAGACATCATGGTCATAAAGGACCACATCAATATTCCAGGATTCGCTGGAAACAATCCGCTAGTGGGAGCAAACGACAAGAGGTGAGACTCTGCTGCTGCGCTGATCTGACGTGATTATCTAGTGCTGGGCGGTATGACCAAAAATGTATATCACGGTATTTTTCAAAGTTATACCGGTTTCACGGTACATGACGGTATTTTTTTTTCATGCATGAGCCGGTGTTAACCATATCTTCTACTGATTGAGAGGAAATACTGCAGTATATTGACTCAGAATGCCCTATTTTACTGTCATGATGAGTGAATATTGTCAAAAAATACCACACTAAATAGTGACTAAACACGACCCCTTTTAATACATGTTAACCAGGAGTCACTCTCATTTATAATCACAGCATCGTCTGATAAAATCAGCATGCATCTACACTAAAGAGCGGCTATGTGGTTGTTTTGGCTATATTACTCTTTTGTCTCATGCAGCGCACTGCCTGCGTCTGAGTAACAAACTAAATACAACAACAAACTAAAAAGTGCATGTGATATTAACAGACGAACTACGCTC